GGTCTTTAAACAGCTCAACTTAAGTGAGCTGAAGACTTGGTTGGGGATGTGGGGGGGAAAGGAGTGAATTGTTTTGATCCCCCCGTTCAAATTATAGCCGGAGTAAGTGTGAGTAATTTTGTTTTACCTTTTCCTTTAATCTGCTCTGCTTCACTCTCTCTTTTATCTCTCATGTAAAATTAAAAAGAAAAAAATAATACAGCATTGCAAAACCCTAAGGTGGCTGCGCAGTGAAAAGGATGCTGGGGAAACCGAATAGAGGGGGAAAAAACGTGCCAATTGGAGGAAGAAAGGAGGCTAAGAATGCAGGAATTAATTAGGCCCATCAGAATGAAGGGGAAAGTGGCAGGATGACAGTCAGTCAAGCAAATAAGGAGAGATGAGTTAAAACATAGCCGCTGGCTTTTCCGAGGATAGGAATGGCTACCAGACAACAGGGGGGGGGGACGCCAAGGAAAGGTCATTTGCATGGAACAATGTTAGGGGGGGGAAACTCTCTCTCCCCTTGCTAGCTTGATGGAAATAATGCCTTGTTTTTAGGGGAGGGAGGGAGGCAGAGAGCAAGGGAGTGTCAGGAAAAGGAAGAAGGAAAGGAGAGGAGAGGAGGAAAGGGAAGGGAAAGGAGAGAAGAGAAGAAGGGAAAGAAAAGGAAAGGAAAAGAAAGGAAAGGAGTGGTGGTGAGAGAAGAAAGGAGGGAGGGAGGAAGAGGGAAAGGAAGGAAAGGAAAGGAGGAAAAGAGAGATGGAGAAAGAGGAAGGAAGGAGAAAGGAAAAGGGCAGAAAGGAATAAGAAAAAGACAGAAAAGAAAGGAAAGAAAGGAAGGGAGGGATGGTGAGGGAAGAAGAGAGGGAGGAAGGGAGAGAGAAATGAAAGGAAGGAAAAGAAAGGAAAGGAGGAAAAGAGAGATGGAGAGAGAAAGAGGAAGGAAGGAAGGAGAAAGGAAAAGAAGGGCAGAAAGGAATAAGAAAAAGACAGGAAAGGAAGGAAAGAAAGGAAAGGAGGGATGATGGGAGAAGAATGGAGGAAGGAAGGGAGAGGGAAAGGAAAAGAAGGAAAGGAAAGGAGAAAAAGAGAGATGGAGAGACAAAGAGGAAGAAAGGAAGGAGAAAGGAAAAGAAGGGCAGAAAGGAATAAGAAAAAGACAGAAAAGAAAGGAAAGAAAGGAAAGGAAAGGAGGGATGATAAGAGAAGAAGAGAGGGAGGAAGGGAGAGAGAAATGAAAGGAAGGAAAAGAAAGGAAAGGAGGAAAAGAGAGATGGAGAAAGAAAGAGGAAGGAAGGAAGGAGAAAGGAAAAGAAGAGCAGAAAGGAATAAGAAAAAGACAGAAAAGAAAGGAAAGAAAGGAAAGGAGGGATGGTGAGAAAAGAAGGGATGGAGGAAGGGAGGGGGAAGGAAAGGAAGGAAAAGAAAGGAAAGGAAAGGATGAAAAGAGAGATAGAGAGAGAAAGAGGAAGGAAGGAAGGAGAAAGGAAAAGAAGGGCAGAAAGGAATAAGAAAAAGAGAGGAAAGGAAGGAAAGGAAAGGTTTATCTCCTTAAGACAAACGATAGGGAAGGGAAGATGGAAGAGAAGGAAAGGCAAAAGAGGAAGAGGAAGGAAGGATTTAGAAATAACTCTTCTTCCTGTCTCCCAAGGTCATCCTCACACGCCATTATAGTAGAGAAGGTTCTTTTTGTCAATCTGGATCATCATGAAAACTTCTCAATTGCTTTTGGGGGCGGGGCGGGAGGGGAGTGTCATCCTTAACGGCGAAGACCAAACCTGAATTTTGCAAAGCCAGGTGGGATGCGGAGACCACTTGCTTGGCCAAAGTTGATACCCCCCACCCCCAAAATAATAATGCACAGAGCATCAAACGGGCAACAGGCCTGCTGTGGTTTCTGCCCCAGCGTGTGTGACAGCTAATGCTTCGCTTCGGGGTTCGGTCTCTGATCACAGAAGCCCCCCTCTCCTCCCACCCCCCGAGTAGAGCAAGCAGCCTTTTTTATTCTCTAGGAAGGAAGCAGTGTCGCTGCCTTGTCACCGTAAGCATGGAGGACATTATCCATATGTTGTCTCCTCCTCCTCTTCTTCCCTCCCTCCTTTGCTTCCCTAGGAAACAGTCAGGCTGTTGAACATTAAGCGTTCAGCAATGGATGCCCCCAACAGGGTCTACGAGGGATTTGAGATAGCACCGGGGAGGGGGGCTGATAGCAGGCAGAAGGAAATGGTTTGGAGGACAGTGTCAGCATTCCAAATAACATCCAGAATTAAATCAGTGTCCAAGGTATAGCTTTCATCAAAGTTCCAATTTAATAAGAGAGACATGTTGGTACAAACTGTGAAAACCCTAATCTGAAAGCTTCCTGGGTTTTCCCTACCCAGTTGAAAGTTCATGATTTGTCCCCACATCCACAAGTCCATCACACGGTCCAAACTTCCTCTGCCACGCTGGCATTTCCACCCATCTAGTTCCGGTCAGGTGCAGAGGTGCGGAGACAAAGGATGACCTTGGGCTTCTAGAAAGGAATGTTTTATTTTGACAACAACACATTCTACAATTCTACTCCTTACTATTCCCCCTCCCAATTACCCCACTAATGAAACAGCATAGTAAAATAAGAGAGAGTGTGGCAGGCCAAAGATCCTAAAAGGAATATGACTGCAGGCCTGACAGGCAGCCTCTCCTCAAAAGGAATGTGACTGCAGGCCTGACAGACAGGCCATGTAGGGAGGAGTGTAGGAAGTTAGCACCCATTCCTCTCCCGGAAAAATGATATATCCCGGGAAATATTGGCAAGGCGGAATATTATATTTCCCTGTATCAGAAATGGAGAAATGTGTTTTTAAGCAGGAAACAGACTCACTCTCAATAGCCCCCACCTTTGTCAAAGGGCCATTAGAGGCCCTGAGCTACTCTATATAACAAAGATAGGCTTAGCTTTCTACAGAAAATCACCCCATGGCGCCTGGGAACTCAACCAAACTTGAACTCAAAACACAGCCTAGCGAGTTGTCCCTGCATGGCCCCAAGGGAGTCTGGCAACCAATCAGAATCCATTTCTTACACAGGAACAGGAAACAGAGAGGTGGGGCCGAACAGAGAGTATAAAGCCAGGGACTTTCAGCATCTCCGCCCTCTTTTTTCTCCTTCACCCAACATCTGGAAGCATTTTCTGTTCAGGAGCTCACGCCATGTGATCCTGTCCACCATTAAACCCTCTTTCCAAACATGTTTCCAGTGTCTTTTCCCCCTGGAGCTGAACCCAGAAGGAACATTTCTTCCAACAGTAAGTCGAGAGAAAATGGTTTAGGAGATGACAGAGTTGGAAGGGACTTGGAGGTCTTCTAGTCCAACTCTCCCCTTTTAAAGGTTTTTAAAGATTGGGCAGCCATTCGTCTGAAATCGCTATGGGGTTAGGGTTAGACCAGAAGATACCTCCAAGGCAGTGGTGGGATTCAGCCAGTTCGCACCACTTCCGGAGAACCGGTTGTTAACTTTCCGAGCAGCTTGGTGAACTGGTTGTTGGAAGAAATCATTAGGGCAGAGAACCGGTTGTTAAAATATTTGAATCCCACCACTACTCCAAAGTCCCTTTTAACATTTGACCTGGGCGATACCTCGCTTCTTCTATGGAAGGCAGAAGAAGCAAGGAAGGGATTTAGGGGTGGTGAAAGCTAATTAAGCTGGGGTGCATTGGGTGAGCCCGGGAAAAATGCCTAGATGATGGCTTTGCTTGGTTGGTAGCCCAAACATCAACCTTGGTTATCAGGCATGACAACATGGAGAGGAGGAGGGAGAGGGGAAGAGGTGTGGGGGAGGGAGGGAGGGTGGAGTAGTTGCCTCTGAGCTACGTCGCACAAATGCAGAGACACTGAGCAGGGAGAAGAGGAGGGGAGATGTAACGCTCCTTGTCGCTTCTGCTTATACCATTTGGACACTGTGGGTGACACTTGCTCATCCTTTGCTCGTTATTATTTGCAAGGATGTGCTTGTTTGTTTGGAGGGATAAGTATTTATCTCTCCTGGGTGTTGCCTAAAACAGGGAGAAGGCTAAAGTCCAATTATTATCCCTTATTATTCCCAGGGGATTCCTGGAATTACGTGCCACATCAACCGTGGTGTAGGGAATGGGATCATTCTCCAGAAACCCTGCTCCCCAAGTATTATCCCCACATTTAGGTGGTCTCCAGGAGAATGTAAAATCTTGGCTTTCAATCAATCACCTGTCATCCCAAGAGCTAGGGTGGCTCAATGTTTAGAATGCATCATGGCANAGAGAGAGATAGAAGAGAGATAGAGAGACAGAGAGAGAGAGAGACAGAGAGATAGAAGAGAGATTGAAGAGAGACAGACAGAGGGAGAGAGACGGAGAGTGAGATAGAAGAGAGAAACAGAGATAGAAGAGAGAGACAGAGAGAGATAGAGAGACAGACAGAGAGAGATAGAGAGGGAGGGATATTCTTTATTGGTCAAGTGTGATTGGGCACACAATTTGTCTCCAGTGCAGAAGCTCTCAAGTGTACATACAAGGGAGGCCCAAGATATTTTATCACCCTTCTTTCTGTTTCGTGTAGCATGCAGGTCCTCAATGGAAGGGCAGGGCTGGTTGCAATTGTCCTAGCCGTCGGTTGAAAATGTCTATTTTATATTCATATAAAATTTCTATTAGGAAGAACAATTCAAACTATTATAGCTATAAAACTTAAACGAAAACACCGATACTAATCAAGTAAAAACTTAAATCCCGAATAATACCACAAGAGCTACATTATTTGGGTCTCGTTAAGGCTGGACTGAGTTAAAAAAAAACAACTGAGCGAGACCGCCCAGAGGGGCGTGGCCAGGACTTTTTCCTAACTCAGTCTCAAGGCCGATGGACAAAGTTAAACCCATGCTTGCATTCTCCAAGCGGCGCACAGGAGAAAGCTGATATTGTAAAGAAATCAATGTTTCTGGCTGGAAACCTTCATTGTGAATGGAAGCATTCTTGGGTTGTTGTTTTTTTCTCTCCTTGCCAGGATGCGACGCGCATGACCTCGGCGGGTTGCTTGGCTGAAATGTGTGCCTTCTTGACGGACGAAGAACTCGGCGGCATCCTCCAGAATCATCTCCTAGGTGGGCAAACTTCCCAGGGAGGGATGGAAGGAACGTGGTTTTCTGTCGCTACATCAACCCGCCACAAATGGGGCCCAAAATTTCTTGTTGCAGAGCAGCGTGGTTGTTAAGCGAATCAGGCAGTCGTTCAGCAAATCTGGCTTCCCTCATGGACTTTGCTGGCTCAGAGCTAGATGGGAGGGGCACTGTTGGTGACTCTGGGACAGTGCAACCGTTCGTAAAGGCATACTGTTCCCCAAGTGCCTGAATTTTGATCATAACAAAATAATAACTTGAGAGACCGCCTACTGCCAATTGCCTCCACGCGACCTATTAGATCTCATCGATTAGGCCTCCTC